GAAGTGGCTCACAGCGAAGAGCCAGTTATTTTTATTATTGAACCAACAGAACAAATCAGATTACACCCGGGGGATTGGATTTGTTGTTTTATACAGTCCATCGGACATGAAACAAGCCTCTTATTCCAGGTTCATAAACTATGTTGCAGCTTCAACACAAGCTGATGCCCTACACAGCAAAAAAAACCAACCAACCAAACCCCACATCAGCGAGTCTCAGAGCCTGGGTCAACAGACTCCAGCTCGCACTATGGGGCTAAAAGTGGAACGTTTACACTGCTATGTTTAGCCCTGAAGCACAACCCCGAGTCAGTTGACCTGAGCTCTGAGACTCGCTTTCCCCCAGTGTCGACGTACCCTAAGCGACTGCAGTAGAGAGTTAAGTTCTCAAATGGTCACAAGAAAGGGAGTGAGGTAGGCAGGGGAGACCGTAAAGGATTTTCTGTTTTTTCTCTCCTTCAATGAGTTCCTCCCACAAAGTCATAATTACCCAATGTATAATGATGTACACCTAGGAGTCAGGATTCTAGTCCTTTCCCTGCTGTTCACTCATTGTGCAATCGTAGGCAAGACAACTTCTCTATGTCTCAGTGTCAAGTACTCTGAGCTCTATGGATGGAGATTCCCATAGAACTGCTCGATGGTATCAATAAAAAAGGGCCAGTAAAGAGACGCTGCTCTTTACTATAAACTCAGAGGTACAGTGCTTGCATTTCAGTGGTGTTTGCTGCCCGGGCCAAGAGTTTATATCATGAAATTCAACTCAGAGGGAAGATTGAGAACATAAGAACAGTAAGACTGGGTCAGACCAACAGTCCATCCAGCCCAATATCCGGTCTTCTGAGGCGTGGCCGGGGCCAGGTGCTTCAGAGGGAATGAACAGAACAGGGCAATTTCTCAAGTGATCCCCGTCATCCAGTTGCAGCTTCTGGCAGTCAGAAGTTTAGGGACACCCAGAGCATGGCTTGTAAGCCAAGATGGTCAGGGATGCAAGTCCATCAATTGCTATCCTCCATGAATTTATCTAATCCTTTTTTGAACCCAGTTATACTTTTGGCCTTCACAACATCCCAAGGCAACGAGTTCCACAAGTTAATTGTATGTTGTGTGAAGTACTTCCTTTTGTTTGTTTTAAACCTGCTGCCTATTAACTTCATTGGGTGATCCCTACTTCGTGTGTTATGTGAAGGGGTAAATAACACTTCCCTGCTCACTCTCTCCACACCATTAATGATTTTATAGACTTCTATCATACCCCTCACACACACACCCAGTCATCTCTTTCATAGAATCATAGAACTGGAAGGGACCTCGAGAGGTCATCTATTCCAGTCCCCTGCACTCAATGCAGGACTAAGTATTATCTAGACCAGGGGTAGGCAACCTATGACACGGGTGCCAAAGGCAGCACGCAAGCTGATTTTCAGTGGCACTCACACTGCCTGAGTCCTGGCTACCGGTCCGGGGGGCTCTGCATTTTAATTTAATTTTAAATGAAGCTTCTTAAAAACATTTTAAAAACCTTATTTGCTTTACATACAACAATAGTTTAGTTCTATATTATAGACTTATAGAAAGAGACCTTCTAAAAACATTAAAATGTATTACTGGCACACGAAACCTGAAATTAGAGTGACTAAATGAAGACTCGGCACATCACTTCTGAAAGGTTGCCGACCCCTGATCTAGACCATCCCTGATAGGTGTTTGTCCAACCTGCTCTTAAAAATTCCCATAAGCTATACAGTCCCAATCTTTTTAGTCTCTCCTCACATGGAAGCTGTTCCAGACTCAATCATTTGTGTTGCCCTTTCTGTACTCTTTCCAATTCTAATTAGGGCTGTCGATGAATCGCAGTTAACTCACGCGATTAAATCAAAAAAATTATTTGCGATTAATCGCAGTTTTAATTGCGCTGTTAAACAATAGAACAACAATTGAAATTTATTAATATTTTGGATTTTTTCTACATTTTCATATATATTGTATTCTGTGTTATAATTGAAATCAAAGTGTATATTATTGTTGATTACAAATATTTGCACTGTAAAAATGAAAAAAGAAATAGTATTTTTCAATTCACCTCATACAAGTACCATCGTGCAATCTCTGTTGTGAAAGTGCAACTTACAAATGTAGATTTTTTTTTGTTACATATCTGCAGTCAAAAACTAAACAATGTAAAACTTCAGAGCCTACAAGTCCACCCAGTCCTACTTCTTATTCAGCCAATCGCTAAGACAAACAAGTTTGTTTACATTTACAGGAGATAATGCTGCCCACTTATTTACAATGTCATCAGAAAGTGAGAACAGACATTTGCATGGCACTTTTGTAGCTGGCATTGCAAGGTATTTACTTGCCAGACATGCTAAACAATTGTATGGCCCTTCGTGCTTCGGCCACCATTCCAGAGGACATGCTGATGACCCTCGTTAAAAAAATAATGCGTTAATTAAATTTGTCTCTGAACTCCTTGGGGGACAATTGTATGTCCCCTGCTCTGTTTTACCCGCATTCTGCATATATTTCATGTTATAGCAGTCTCGGATGACGACCCAGCACATGTTCGTTTTAAGAACAATTTCACTGTAGATTTCACAAAACGCAAAGAAGGTACCAATGTGAGATTTCTAACCAACCCAAGGTTTAAGAATCTGAAGTGCCTTCCAAACGCTGATCGGGACGGAGTGTGGAGCATGCTTTCAGAGGTCTTAAAAGAGTAACACTCCGATGCGGAAACTACAGAAACAGAATCACCAAAAAAAGAAAATCAACCTTCTGCTGTGGCATCTGACTCAGATAATGAAAATGAATATGTGCTGGTCCGCACTGCTTTGGATTGTTATCGAGCAGAACCCATCATCAGCATGAACGCATATCCCCTGGAATGGTGGTTGAAGCATGAAGGGACATATGAATCTTTGGCACATAAATATCCTGCAACGCCGGCTACAACAGTGCCATGTGAACACCTATTCTCACTTTCAGGTGACATTGTAAACAAAACGCAGGTAGCATTATCTCCTGCAAATGTAACCAAACTTGTTTGTCTTAGCAATTGGCTGAATAAGAAGTAGGACTGAGTGGACTTGCAGGCTATAAAATTTTACATTGTTTTATTTTTGAATGCAATACTTTTGTACCTAATTCTACATTTGTAAGTTCAACTTTCATGATAAAAAGACCGCACTACAGTACTTGTATTAGGTGAACTGAAAAATACTATTTCTTTTGTTTTTTTACAGTGCAAATACTCGTAATCAAAAATAAACATAAAGTGAGCATTGTGTACTTTTTATTCTATAACTGAAATCAATATATTTGAAAATGTAGAAAACATTCAAAAATATTTAAATAAATGGTATTTATTATTAACTGTTATTAATCGCAATTTTTTTATATCGTGCGTTTAATCGCGATTAATTTTTTTAATCGCTTGACAGCCCTAATTCTAATATATCTTTTTGAAATGGGGTTACCAGAACTGTACATGTATTCAAGGTATGGGCATGTCATGGATGTATATAGTGGTATTATATTTTCTGTATTATCTAACCCTTTCCTAATGGTTCCTAACATTGTCAGCTTTTTTGACTGCTGCTGTACATTGCGCAGATGTTTTCAGAGAACTATCCACAATGACTGCAAGATCTCTTTCTTGAGTGGTTACAGCCAAGGCCTTGTCTACACTGCTACTTTACAGCACTGCAACTTTCTTGCTCAGGGGGGTGAAAAAACACTCAAGAGCCTTTGGTGAGAGACCTTGTCAATGTCTTTCTAAAATTTCAAGTACACTGTATCCACTGGATTATCCCCGTCCACGTTCGTTGACATGCTCAATGAATTCTAGTAGATTGGGGAGACGTGATTTCCCTTTACAAATGCCATGCTGACTCTTCCACAACATACCATGTTCATGTGTGTCTAATAATACTTTTCTTTACTATAGTTTCAATCAGTTTGCTTGGTACTGAAATTAGGCTTACTGGCCCGTAATTGCCAGGATCGCCTCCACAGCTTTTCTTAAAAAATTGGCATCACATTAGCTATCCATCAGTCATCTGGTACAGAGGCTTTATTAAGCGATAGGTTACATACCACAGTTAGTAGTTCTGCAATTTCACATTTGAGTTCCTTCAGAACTCTTGGGTGAAGACCAGCTTGTCCTGGCAACTTATTACTGTTTAATTTATCAACGTGTTCCAAAACTTCTATTGACACCTCAATCTGGAGCAGTTCCTCAGATCTGTCACCTGAAAAGAATGGCTCACGCATGGGAAAACAAGGTTCTGGTTTCAGGAAGATCATCACTGCAACTTGATGGAAGGCAGGTGAACTCCTAATGGGACTTTTGGAAGAGCTGCAACAGGTTGCAGTTAGTCTGGAGATGGTGGAGGAACATTTGCCATCTAACCACCTAATTCTAGGTGCATTGAACAGAAGAGGCCAAAGAGAGACCTTTATACTGGTATTTTCAAAAGGATGCTCACTGTGGTCAATGTTCTGCAGCCACAGCTCAGCAAGCTTTTCATTAGCGTGTTCTAAATCCTCCTATTACACTCCGCAACCCATGCGAGATGAACCATCCATTTTAAAGTGTTTTGCCGCTGCATGACTCACTGCTATACACAGCTCTGAAACTGCCAACACCACTGAAATCGACTAAACCCTCTTTTACAACACAGCCTGATAAGAGCTGAGTGTGTGTAACCCACTAATAATTATGCCAGGGATTAGTACTGCTTATTAAACACAAACAACCCCCACCCCAGACAGTCCAGAGCTAGTTAAAACCTACCTCCCCTCTCTCTGAGAAGGAGGCCCGTTAAATCAGATGTGAGATCTAGTCCAGCGCCATCACTGACCTCTTGTGACTTTGGGGAGTCATTTTGCCTGTGTCTCAGTGTCTCTGTTACGTGGCAATAGCACTTGACTTCATAGGGCTATTATAGGATTTAATTCATTCACATCTATCAAGCACTTGGGAAGTCTGGATGGAGGTGCTGAAGAGTGCGACGTATTATTCCTCAAACCACAAATTGGCAGCTGGAGGAGGTCAGGGAAAAGTTTTCAACTAGCAATAATCACGCCTCAGAATAACTTCATTATGATACTGCCACTGCGCAAACCTGTTAACAGAGGATTAATTAACTTTCAACACCATCCTGTCCCTTTGAGGGGGACATTTCATTTCCTCTGTGTTAAAAGGGAAATAATAGACTAAAGCAGTGAGATTCCCTCTGTGGCCTGGACAAGTCACATGTCAGAACAAAGTAGATCTATCTAACTACAAAGCAGGGTGGATAAAAATCAATGATTTTTTTGATTGAAATCCGATTTTTTTGATAAAATGCTTTTTGAGGAAAAAACCTATCTAAAGATAGTTTTAATTAAGATACATTATAGCTCAAAGATATCTCATCATGGAATAGGGATGATAAATTCTAATTCTATAGTATGAGACAATATATTCATGTCATGTTTAAGAAAAGTTTTGTAAGTGAGTTCTAATAGTTCATGGATTAGGGACACAATCTTATGGGGTTCCATAGGCCTCTGTATAGATTATTTAGGTTAATCTTTCTATCTACCCAATGGGACTCAGTGCTCAGTCTAGAAGATACCATCAGAGATGCTTAGTTTTGCAGTTCTCAAACCGTGGATTTGTCTCTCCAGAGATAACATGCTTGTTCACAGCAAAAATGATTTAAAATAAATAAATAAATAAAATAATGTATAGAGGTGAGAAATAACAGACCTCAACCCTATTGTCCTTCTGCAAAAACCTACAATGGCAGCAGTCTGTAAGAGAGACCCAGTTTGGGAATAAGAACCATTCAATAAATATATGTTTGCTGATGGTGTTTTAAAGAAAGTCACACCAGTGAACTGGTGGAAGTCACTTAAGCACTTGGATTCAGAGACTGTTGAAGTGCTAATCTCACTTTTAACAGCAGTAGCTTCTTCTGCCAGTGTAGAAAGAATATTTTCTTCCTTTGGACTAATTCATTCCAAATTGAGAAATCGTTTGGGACCTGAAAAAGCAGGAAAGCTTGTTTTTCTTTTCCAGATTATGAACAAACAGGAAAATAAAGGTGAAGACGACTGAATTAGCTGCAGAAGCCAATATTTTAAGTTTCTCATGTTGACCTGGCTGATATAGTCGATTTAATTTTTGTGGGTTTTTAAAAATATTTTATATTTTAGTTAAAAACAATTTTAATAAAAACAAACCTGATTTTAAAAAACTTGAATGTTTAACTAAATTCAAAAATTCATATGCTTGTTTTGTTAAAATATTATGTGTTTGCTGTTGAAGAAAAAAATCCAGAATACTTAACGTTGTTGTTTTAGTTAAATAAAACAATTTAAATGTCTGTCGGGTGATGTTCTCCTCCTAATACAGCATGGCAAGAAAATCCTCCAAATATTAATGATTAGCCTGTTGAATTGGAGATAGCTCACCTCCCAATGACTTCATAAATATCTGCTTCAATTACCTTTGGTAAATGAAATAACCAATCATTCATTTTCTGATATAGCTGTAAAACTCACCTGAAAAGTTTTCAAAATAAAGCACTTAAAAAATGTATTGGGTGTACCTTTTACAAATGAAACCTACATCTACCTCTGAGTTGTGAAGAATATGTATCAAGTTATAACAACCAACAAGAATGCACTTTTACGTAGAAATCCCTGATTAAATAGAGTCTTCCTGACTAGTGATTTAAACGATTTAAATCAATTTGATTTAAATCAAATCCACCCTGCTACAAAGTTCACCTCTCTCAAACTGGTAGTTAAGAGGAGTGCTGTAAAGAATGGTTTAGAACAGTGGCTCTCAACCAGATGTCCGGGGCCCCCTAGGTGGCCATGAGCAGATTTCAGGGGGTTGGCCAAGCAGGGCCAGAATTAGACTCACTGGGGTCCAGGGCAGAAAGCAGAAGGCCACTGCCTGGGGCTGAAGCCTGGAGTCCTGCCACCCAGGCCTGAAGCCGAAGCCTGAGCAATGTAGGTTTGTGGGGGCCCCTGTGGCATGGGGCTGAAGGAAACTGCCCTGCTTGCAGAAAAGCAGTTGTTGTGGCACAGGTGGGCTGTGGAATTTTTATTGCATGTTGGGGGGGAGGGGGAGAACAAAAAAGGTTGAGAACCCCTGGTTTAGACTAATGACACGCTATGTTCTGAATGGAAACTAATTCCACCCCAATCCATTCACCGGACCAAGACCTTACTGTTTTGAGGAACAGCTTAGGTGTCTCCTACAAACTTTTTCCACTGGAGGGAGGGAGGGAGGTGGGTGTGAGTGATATCTCTCTGAAAGCATCAAGCCTGGTGAGCATTAATAAAAAGCGACAGAGCCAGCCGTGCTGTTAACCTGCAGACGGGCTAGGTTCTTAAAGAAAACATTTGCACTACAACACGCGAAACAGAGAGCATAGTCCAAAGCTAGAAAAAAAGATTTCTGAAATCAATGAAACAAGAGCTCTCATGAGAGGAGAAGGGAAGAGTTATTTCTCTATAAACCGAAAAGGGATCCTTTGAAGTAGGTCAATCGTCTTGCTAGAAATCCTATCTGCCCCACTGTCTGAGCAGTAGTTTCATAGAGAAATTGCTTGTTCAGTCACTATGGATTGTTTTTTAGTGACTGTAACTTAGGTGGGGGGCGGGGGAGTAGTGCAGAGGGAATAGTTACAGAGCAATAAATTAAGCAAGAGAAGGAAGACAACAAAGGCTAAAAAGGAAAACTGTGGTCCACTAATTTATTACACCAGGCAACCTGGCAAACCCAGATAAACGCACATATGAACCATAATCAATCGGAACAAGGCTGGAGCCGAAATCACAAATTTACAACAGGGATGGGACCAGATGATAAAGCCCATCCTGAAGGGAGAAGCCTTGAGTAGGAGATTTGACAGCCCTGCCTGCACTTCTCGATGAGAGTTTCTGTAAATTCGGGGGCAAATATAGTATGGTCTACAGAGTCCTACAAAGCAGTCAGCCGGCTGATGTCGTTATCTTTAGTGCAGTGGTGCAGCCCTCAGGGACTTCCGGTCCCAAAATTCAATAAGTCATCTTGATAGAAGGCAGCTCTCCATGGGCTTCTCTCAACTGTTTTTAGTCACGCATGCCCACTCTGGTTTTGTACGGTTTCCCATTTTGCCCCAATGCCTGAATGAGCCTTATTCAACACAGGTCAAAAATCCATCTGTAATGATCACCACACGCACCCGTACTTGTTCTGTTTGTACTGTACCAGAACATGCCAGCCTGTGCCCTCAGATCGTTCGCAGCCCTCTAGGGTAGAGATGTAGTAGTTTAATCCAGCTCATCCAACAAAAGCATCTGATTTTGTACTTACAAGTTTAGCAAACCTAAACACTTCTCTGGCTGACGTTTTACACCTGTTTGAACATCCCCCGAATCATTTCTAGAGCAGATCTTTTAGGAGAACATCCAATCTTGATATTAAAATTATCACTGACAAAGAAGCCACCAAAGCCCTTGGTAAGTGATTACAATGGTTAATTACCAGGGTGGATAAAAATCAATGATTTTAAAAAAGAATCAATTTTTTTTTGTTATAAAATGCTTTTTGAGGAAAAATCTAAAGATGGTTTTAATTAAGATACATTATAGCTGAAAGATCTCTCATCATGGAATAGGGATTATAAATTCTAATTCTATAGTATGAGACAATATATTCATGTCATGTTTAAGAAAAGTTTTGTAAATGAGTTCCAATAGTTCATGGATTAAGGACCCAATTTTATGGGGTTCCACAGGCTTCTGTTTAGATTATTTAGGTTAATCTTTCTATCTACCCAATAGATAGAAAGTGCTCAGAGATGATTAGTTTTGCAGTTCTCAAACTGTGGATTTGTCTCTCCAGAAGTAACATGCTTGTTAACAACAAAAATGTTTTTTAATAAATAATATATAGAGGTGAGAAATAACAGACCTCAACTCTATTGTCCCTCTGCAAATTTGTGTACAAAGAATCAATCCCTTACCTCTCTCTAAAAAGTGCAAAGTTTCAAAAAGTTCAATGAATAGAAGATTGTTGGGGGCGGAATAGGTCTGGAGATAAACGTGAGAAGCGAGGGACATATGCTTGTTTTGTTAAAATATTATGTGTTTGCTGTTGAAGAAAAAAATCCAGAATACTTAATGTTGTTTTAGTTAAATAAAACAATTTAAATGTCTGTCTGGTGACATTCTCCTCCTAATACAGCATGGCAAGAAAATCCTCCGAATATTAATGATTAACCTGTTGAATTGGAGATAGTTCACCTCCCAATGACTTCATAAATATCTGCTTCAATTACATTTGGTAAATGAAATAACCAATCATTCATTTTCTGATATAGCTGTAAAACTCACCTGAAAAGTTTTCAAAATAAATCACTGTTTAAAGATGTATAGGGTGTACCGTCTACAAACCTACATCTATCTCTGAGTTGTGAAGAATATGTATTAAGGTTATAACAACCAACAAGAATGCACTTTTATGTAGAAAACCATAATTAAATCGAGTCTTCCTGACTAGTGATTTAAATCAAATCCACCGTTAGTTACTCTCACTGTTAAGCGCATTGGGTGCTGCCATCCTCTCGTTAGTGAGGAGGTGCATGCAGCCTGCAAAGATGACAGGTATACAACACTACATTTCAATCCAAGGAGAGGCACTGTGCATACTGGGACCTGTTGTCTCCATAGGCTGCAACTGTTATAATACCGGCGAGAGGCTGCGCTCAATTTTATGGTAATTAAGTGCAAGTCCTCAGACTCTTGGAAAGTAGCCCGTTTGATCTTCAGCTGGAGAGTTACTAGTTACCCCAAACTCCACAAATTTGATTAATCCTTTTACTTGAATTTTCCACTTATCAGAACCTGTGGAAATAGTCATAGCTTGGAACGTCTCTGAGATAACTAGGAATTCAGCTTCGTCCCACTACTTCCCAGGAAGTTAACAAGGAAAATATTTGTTCTCTGTCACAAAAGCTTAAGAACGTACTAGCCCATGGAAAATTTGGAGCAGCAAGATTTATTAGACTGGTCAATTCTACAACTGCTGCCTAGGTCATAAGAAGTGGTAAAAACGGACTGGAATTCTTACCAGAAACTCAA